CCTATACGATCCACTCCATTAAAATTGCTTTCTTGCACGCATAGCTGAGGTATCCAGCCTTGAAGTTGCTAATATTTCAATGCAGAAACTTGCTAATGTTCCCCAATGTACGTCATCGCGTGACTACGCCCACAACCGGAAGTGATTTTGACAAAATGGCTGCAAGGCAAGAAATTGCAACTTTTGACCCAAGATTTAGTATGGAAACAGTACTTTTTGATAATTTTACTTATTTTTCCTATGATTTTTTCTTTATTACCAACTTATTTCTGCAAAAAAAATTTTTGGGTTGAGTTACCCTTTAAGTAGTACTTGTACAAATTTTGGACTTCCTGCTCAGTTCAGAAGATGAATTATAGTTAATTAAGTTTATGTGTTCCAAAATTAACCCCTTTACCTTATGTACATCTGTAATGAAATTCATTGGGTGAGTTTATCTGTAATGCAAATGAGATGCACGAGCGATCTGCGCATGCTCAGTATCCAGCATGTGGCAGAAAATGGCAGCATAGTAGTAGTCTCGCGTAGCCAGCCCCTCCCTCCGTGCCTACGGGAGGGTCTGGCAAATTGACCATACTCCGCTCGTTCTGTTAACAATAATATTACGTCATCCAAATAATATTACGTCATCCAAATAATATTACGTCATCCGAATAATTAATTTTTAATGAAAAAATTGGTACATTGTGATTTGCGCGCGCAATATTTGTCCTGCAGACGTCGGACGATTCAAAATTATTATGATGGCGATGAATACTGTACCTTGCTTTTTGTGTAAAGAAGAGCTGGTGTCAAGGACTCAGCAGGCAAAGAAGTTGCTTTTATTTGAGAACTCAGGAAGGAAGTACCTTGATCTAATAAATGATATTGCAGAAGAGGGAAATAGATTGGGACTAGTTCAAGACTCTGAGGCTCCACTTAGAAAAGCATACATTTGCCACAATTGCTGTGGAAGTTTAGAAAGATGGGAAACTTTGAAAAGAAAGGCTGAAGAAGAGAAGAGAAAATTATTATCTAAACTGGATTCCTTGTTTGATGAGGATTTCTGCACTCCTGAACAGGCTGAATCACTCGGGGTATATATATATATAACTTAATTTTTCATTGCATGACCTTTTACATAAACCCCATCTGCTTAGGATTGTTTTCCAAATCCCAGATCATCACGAAAGAGGACTTCATCAGCAAGAGAATCAGTATCTAAAGTAGGCAAAGTAATTTTTGAGTTTGATACATTAATTATGACATTTATACTGTAGCTTACTGTGCCATATGATTCATACGAGAAAACATATCTGCTGAAATCTCCTTTCACAGAAGAAAACACCTTAAGAATGGTCAGAAAGAGTTACAATTAAGACACTCTCAACTTCTCTAATAGAGTCTGAACGAATGGGAGCTTCACTGTTACAAGAGTTGATATGCCAAATGCAGAGAGAGATGAAGCATATATGCTCACAATCACATGATTCCATTCTGAGAGATACTAAAGGAGATGTGACAGTGAAGCAGTTCTCATGGGAAACAGTTTGGGATGAGTTACATAGAAATATACCCACTTTGATTAGCGTTTTGGTTGATTTGGCAGACGGTGATGTGCCCCTCACTTGTTTCATTGCTTCGATGCTTTTAAAGAAACGTCTTCCAAAAATGTGTCTGGTACAGAGGGCAACATCGATCCTTTTATATGGTAATGGAGCAAACACAAAGGTTAGTATTAATACATGCTATATACTATTCAACACACCAATTAAATTGTATTCATATCTTTTATATTAGTGTATTTCCTGTCTTTTTTACTATTATAGATTTATAATTGTCTACAACCATTGATGATCTGTCTGTCACATGGTGGTACTATGAATTTATTGGATCGCTTAGGAAAGGATTATGATGTTGACGTACTCTCTTGGTCTAATAGCCTTTTATCACAATTGGAAGTTAGTCTCTAAATTAATGAACTTATTTAATTTTTATAATGTTTGCAGGATCCAGTTGATTCAACACTGGTGTTTAATTTTGAAGCAGAACAGGAAATTAATCATGGTTATGAAGAAGATGGTGAATATTTTTGTGTATAGCTATTGTAAGTGTTTTTGGTATATTTATAGCTTTTGATTTAGTTGATTTGAATGCTGACTGTGGAGATGATGGTACAAGCAGTGATACTGATGAAAATGTTGAAGAGACGATATATGAGCAAGCTGATGAGCAAGAGTTAGATGATTTGGGTAAAAATATTTTCTAATTACTATGCATAGAATGCTATTATTTTAATACAGGTTCAAGTAGAACTGATCAAGGTAATGCTACATGTTTTGCTTGTCATGTTTTGCCTTGGAAAGGGTTTAAGCTTGTAGGAGATAATGTTGATAAAAACATTCATCCATCATTCGACAGGATTTACTCACATACTCTTAGCTTGCATTACTATCATTGCTTTGCAGTGCTCGATAGGATTGATCTTACAGGAGTTAGTGATAGTAATTCCAATAGAGTCATAGAATTGTCGACATTGCTTCCTTCAACTGATGATGTTATACTCATGAAGAAGTATTTTTCTATTTTGATTTCAAGGTATATATACAGCAACTTGTATCAACAAAATTGTGTTGCATAGGGTACTTGTGAAACAGCTTCCCGAATACATGAGTGATGCTGAATTAGTCACATGGCACATACATCATGAGAAACAATTTGAAATGTCAAGAAAGTCTAAAGTGGTATTTATAAATATAACACATGATACAGTCATTTATTTAATATAGGTGCCACTAGGTGTTATTCTACAAAATGAAAACAAAGTAGACGGAATGTGTGCCATTATGGATGAGCTACACAAGTATGTTCCTAAGGTACTTAAACATCAAGGAAGTACAAAAGAAGAAGATCGACTTTATCAGGTGTTGGCTGGTGGTGACCAAGTCACCGTTGTCAGAGCTCGTTCGGCTATAGGTATAAGAAGAACACATGATACCAACACAGAAAAGTTGAAAGGAATTGTCCCGGTAGTGGAAGACTGGCATGCAAGATTGACACTTTTGCAGGTATTGTATATATAAATTTTAAAAAGCTTGAAATAAATATATGCATATAATTACAGGCTATATTTGCTCGATTAATGAAGCAGAATTCAGGAAGGCAACGGGGAACATTAATGCACTTAAAAAATTTAGTCAGAGATACATCAGTTCCAAATAATGATCCCAAAAAAATGTCAAAGCCACCGAAGATTTTTTATCGAAAGTTTTGACTTCCTACTTAGTTGTTGCAGCAAAAGAAGTGAAGAAAGAGAGTGTGATACAGCTTAATGTTGAAGAGCTTTCTGAGCTTGTTATTGAAAGATATGTAAGGCTGCTAAGTGTTCCTACTGGCACAGACACATCTGATAGTGTCCTCACCTATTCTTCTGAACTAATCACTCTTTGTTTACTGTGGGACACATTTCATGATGCAATAAGGGAAGGTGATGGGAAGAGAGTAATGCTTGTATGGAAATTTTTACTTCTAGTATTTGATGCTACCAATAGAGTGAACTATAGAAAGGAGGCCGTAATCTTGCTAGCACAATATCATTTTATATTTTCTGAATGCAAAGCACAGCAGTTAGCATATGATAGGTTCATAAACACTCATGGACGTATTGGGTGCAACATTCCCTGTGATCTTCATCAGGAACACTTGAATAGAAGACTAAAGGATATTCTTAGAAATCTGAACTCTAATATTGGTACTGGTACCATCACTCGAGCTGCAAAAGCACTAGGAATAGTACAAAATATTTGCAATCAGTTTGAAGAGCAAACTTCTAACAGGAAGGTTTCTCAGAAGCATAGCGTTCCATCCAATCAAAAAGATGTCAATACGATGATTGAGAGTTTGGAAGAATCTCCAGGAGTCTTGATTAACCAGCCACATAGAAGACATGCTTCATTTTCCTTTAAAGAATCCATCTTGGAGACATACAATAAAGATAAGCTAACTGGCAGATTGGTGGATATAATAGGCACTCATTTATGTAATAATTAGTGTTATTGTATGTGTTAACGAAGCATAATAATGTATAACAGTATTAACTAAAAATAGATAAATAAATAATAACAATAATAATAATAATAATAATAATAACAAAAAAATAATAATAATAATGAATAATTAATATCATAAACATTATCATTTATGCAGTGAACAGTTACAGGTGTGTGCACATATGTCACAACATTTACAGTTATTCTGTAAAGATGTTTCCTCATGAAATAGAAAAGTGTCATAAAGCAACTTGCGCCTGCAATGGGTTGTGTTTTTTCCATACTCTTGCATACCAGGAGTAATTTTGCCTCTGGGATTACCGTATATTAAAGTTGCCTCACTTGGTAATTGATCTCGTCCAGCTCTGCCTACTTCCTGAGCATATTCCTCCAAAGTAAAAGGTGATCCCCAGTGATATATATGTCTTATATCTAGGCAGTCAATATACCCATCCCAAATGCACAGGTTGCTATTATTATTCTAATTTGTGAATTCTCTTTCACAAATTCATCAAGGACTTTTTTTAACATCATCTGTACTAGCTCTTGTGTATAAGTCAAGAAGACGATATTGACGAACGATCAGTTTTCCTGGGGGATATGTGATGTAAGGACCAAGAAATAGCTCTAAGTTGTCATATACTAAGTTACAATCTGAATATGAACGGCAAAAAATAACAGTTTTAGGGTAATTTAATCCTTCCTTCCTCAATTGGGTATACACATTGTTTGCAAACTCACTCAAAGACACAGACGTAACAGTCAAAAAGATGTTGTCTCTACAGGGTGAAATCCCTATAACCACCACATTCTCCATTAGCAAACTCTTTACCACAGCTTCAAAAGTTGTTTTTGTTGCAGTAGCTGTTGCGGCAATTACGGGTACATTTGGTAAAGAACTGCGAATGTGACCCAATTCAGCAAATGCTGTTCGAAAATGATCTCCCCTGAATGGAAACAACAAATATTCATGTAATACAAACGTCAATCTTACCATGTCTTCACACAATGTGCTTCATCAATTGCTAAGACTACCATATTATCTTTAAACACTTTATTGTGCAGCATTCCTCGATAGAGTGGGTTGCGTGTAATATTCTCAGGGCTAATTAGAATTAGTGGGACATTACCACTGACTATTTTCTTAATGACATCTTGATCATGTTGAATTTCACCAACATACTCAACACAGATCCCCTTGCTGGTAAAGTTACTTCGTTGATCCAGCATTAGTGAGGTCAAGGGACAAATACATACAACTATGCTCACTCCTACTTCTCTACCTAGTGCAACATAACTTCAATGCTTAGTGTTTGATACTAACTTACCCAACATGTAGTCAAAAGCCATTGGAAGTATGCCATATATTAGGGACTTGCCATAACCAGTTGGTAAAACACAAAAAACATCTTTATTCTGTAAAACAGCAAGCACTGCCTCTCTTTGTTTGTCTTTCAGAGTTATACCAACTTTAGCCTCGGCTAAAGAGAGAGCATCTGCAGCTGTAAGAGACATAGCTTGAAGTTTGAACTGTGTTTGAACCTAGTTTCGCGCACCAGACTCAAGTGGGCTGGGCCCTAATTTCAACCATGTGTTTGAAGTAAACGGTCAAATTCACGGTAATTCGCGGAGATATGTGTGACGTTGTATTGTGACGCAACACTTCCGGTTCACCCAGTTTTGGGTGAACCAGAACGAGCCGAGTATGGTCAATTTGCCAGACCCACCCGTAGGCACGGAGGGTGTGGTCTGGCTACGCGAGACTAGCATAGTAGTAGGCTAGACCCAGCCGTTCGCCACTGTATTGACGAAAATAAAGCTCGTGCAGAGATAAATGCTACATAGAAGTTCCAAGAAGGCCTTTATTGTTCTCTCAAGAAGTAAAAAAGAGGGATAGAGTTTGATTTCCCAGCAAACGAGCAAAACGCGCATCCATCCCTGGTAGATCCCATAGATCTTACAGTAAATATAGCACATATTATATAAACCATGGTTTCTCGGTGAGTATCAGTAATGTA